CGCCGCCGCCACACTGCAGCCTCGTCTCCCTCGCCTTCCCCACTCCGGGCGCCTTGTACGCTCTCTATTCGCCAGGCTGTTGCTGCTGCAGGCGGGATCCTCCTTTATGGATGCTCATGACAGCGGGGGAGGCAGCCACTGTAAGCAGCAGGAGCGTGGGCTGGAGCCTGCCTCTCTGCAGGGGAGTTTGCGGGCGGGGGGCGTTCTCGGCCGTACCCCTTCCTCCTGCTTCGTATTTCCCGGCGTAAAATGAAGCAGGAGTCGCGAATCGGCAGCCTGCTTTCTTTCTCCCTCCAGATCGCCTCCACCCTGGGAGAGTAACAAGGCGGCTCCAAGCCCCGCCCCTTTCTTCTCTTCCTCCTCCCCTTTTCTTCTTCTCTCTTTTTTCTTTTATGCCTGCACTTGTTGCACGGAGCATTGAAGCCAAGATACACACCTTGATCTTGGACGACGAATGGATTTAAAACCTCCTCCTCCTCCTCCTCCTGCTCCTCCATCATCATCATCATCATCATCATCATCATCATCATCATCTGGTTGTTCAGCAATGCTTCAAGCTTCATTAGAGTTTACATGTGTCTTGATACAAAGATGGTCATGAGTTGCTAGAAGTGGAATGCTCAGTATGTTTTAGTCTATTTACATTAGCAGAGCAAAAAAAGCATTATGCCAACAACTCTTTCTTCTTATTTAAAGTTTGTGCATAATGGCTTTAGCCTGAAACAACTTCTTCTGCACCACAACTTTCAGGTATAAACTTTGGTCATCCAAGATGCGTTTTAAAGGCCGTTTCCTCCACTGCAGTTTACATTAGCACAAAACTGCACTGGCAGATTTACACTATTCTGCCTTCATCACACCACACTGCTCTTAACATGCTTCCAGTTCATATTTTAAACAACCTTATGCTGAATTTTCTAGTTCTGGGAAAAATCAACCTGACCTGTTTTTCCTGCTTAATCCATCATAGAACCAAAATGTGTATATTCTGCTCCAGGCTTTGGGGAGGCATCTTCATGTAGCCAGAAGTGTCAAAGAACTCACAAGGCGAATAGAATTCAACATTTATCTTTCACCTTCATCTTACTGACACATACAATATGAGCTAGAAAGATGCATCTTTTAAAAACACTTATTTTATTGACATTGTCAACATGGTGATTACAGTACTTCTTATTTAAGTATCTTCTAATTAATCCTTCAGTTTAAATCATCATACCTACTTATTTATCCTACGTGGTTTGCCGGTTCATTTTGCCTCATGTTCTTATTATTTTATTACAAAATAATCCAAATAATCTGCTGAGTATTATGAAGAAAGAGTACGCTGATAAACCTTATACAGTACCTCTACCAGGGGCAAATAAGTAGGGCAGAAATAGAAAGGAACAATATTCCCTGCGTCTTTCTGTTTTTTCCATTTAAAACAAAATTATGTCAGATTGCAGGTAGAAATATTTCTGAATCAGTTTTTGAGCTGAATTAAATATTCCAGGCACTTGCAGGCAAGACAGGGCATTAAAGGATTTGGGGATCCAGCAGGTCCTCAGCTCTACCTCACTCACCTCTGTTGCTACAACCCTTTAGGGAAACTTCTGAAGTCACTGTGGCCTGGTGGAAAGGAAATCTCAGTCTGGGTTCCCTCTTTAAGGCTGGAGTCTCCCTTTATATTTGAACAGGATTCCATCCAAGTCTACAATTCCCAGGGTGCTGTCCTAGGGAGACAGAATTGTGCGTTTCAAATATTCTTAGGGTTTGGTTGTTGTTTTTCTGAAAGAATCTTACATCCCTAAATTACAGGAGCTACAAAGAGACTTCACATTTGGTGGAAATATGAGATACAAATTTATCTATAGCACATACCCATAGTTCCTTAGCACACCTCCCCTGAAAAGACGGGTTAAATTTGTTCATCATTTTCTATTTCTTGGCAAATAATGAAATATAATAATTTTATTTTAAAAATAATTCATCATTACAGGTAAAAACAAGGCATATCCCATCCCTCTGCACCAAATACTGCTGAAATGATAACATTAGTTGCAATGAGCCAAACTCATTGCCTCCAAATATTACAACTACTGTAACACAAATGTGCACCAAATATTTTATTTATGACTGCACTTGATCTTAGCCAAAAAGAGAAGTGGCTAAAAACTGAGAATCAGAAATTAGCTAGCTTTATTAGGGTGTCATATTTAATTGAAGTGTTATTACAGTAACACTCAGAGTCTAGGAACTGGGTGGCCTAAAATAAATAAATAAATAAATATTTTAAATGGATTTTTATCAATGCAAGAGTTGAAGTAAAGTCATTCCTGTTCTATACACAAATACAAAGCCCACTGAAAAGTAATAGAGGCCTCAGAATAAGAGAAGTTTCAGAAAAACCATTAGGAAGGAGATCACACTCAGAGGAAGGGAATCTTGTATGCTGGATAGTAAATGTGTTGTTTCACAAAACTCTCTATTGCTACCAGCTGTTTGGTAGACACCATTTCTGCAAGTGCATTTCATAGACTTATAGGAGTTGGAAAAGATCTTAGAGGTAATCTACCCCAACTCAGTGCAGGATCCGCTAGAGAATCTCTGAGAGATGACCTTCAAGTCTCTGTTTGAAGACCTCCAGTGAAGGAGAGGATTGAGAGATTCATTCTCTTGTCTCAAGTTTTGCACTGGAAACATTCAAGAATCTCCTCAGGTCTATAAGAACTATTGAGGACATCATGGAAAATACTGTATATAATTTGATGTAGGAATGGGGGGAGCCAAACTTCTTTTTCTGTGAAGCTGTGATATGCATGAGAAAATATCTTGTCTGCACACTGCTTTCATGGAATGAGCTCTAAAATCTCTTCTTTCCTGTCCATGTCCTGCTTTTATCCGTTCGTTCAACTGTCCATTCTCTCTCCCACACATACTGTATATGATCTATATCTAGTTTGTATAGTGTCATCAATTCAGTTTTACTGGACATTATATGCAAATCACAGGATCCTAATTTGAGGAGGTTATCATCAAAACATAATACTTTATAAAGCACACTGATAGCATCATGCACACATAAGAGGAGCTTATCATTAATGTTTTCATAGTTCTTCCATGGCTATGGATCATGCTGCCAATTTGTCTATTGTTTTGTTTTAGAGGTTTATGTTCTCTGCTGCATCACTCAAAAGCTGGATTGTTCCTCTTTTTAAGATGGTGGGAGATCAGCAGCAAAACTGTTTTTTTCCCCACCTCCTTGATCTGTGCACTTACTTTTTACTATTGATTTCCCTTTGCATGTTTTGCTGTTTCTGCCCACAACTTTTACAGTCCTAGACATTTATCTGCATTCCTCACTTTTAACAGGAAGGAAATTGACAAGGCTGTTCAACGAGAAATTATAAGAATTGTTTGAGTTTAGATAAAGGTTCCTCTGGCACTCTGCTTCTATCAGCAGTCAGCCAGACAGCCTACCTTCTGAAGAAGAACAATAATGTTTCCATAATACTACTCTCTAGCATGAAGCTATCAAAAACATACTGCCTCTGAACAAGTTCAAGTTCAAGTTCACAGTTTATTACAGTCTTAGACCACTGCAAGAAGTTTGTTCATGAGTGACCTAAGTTCACTTATAAAGCTAAGAAATCTTTAGATAACATTTAATACATATTTAGGATACATATATAAGACCTGGCACAAAATCATAGGTAGAATTCAGACAA